ATAAGTCCAGTTAATGATGAAAATGTTATTGATGACGATGATGTTATACGTGAGTTTTCTGAAGTTCCTCATGACAGAGGCATAGCTGACTCAGACAGTGATGCAGATAGGGTAGAAATTGATGAAGAAGAAATTGAGGAAGAGAATTTCGATACATTACAAAATTTTGAATCCAAACTTACTGAAGTCTTTTTATCCACTAATATGTCTCACGTTCAGGGAAATGCAGTTTTAAAAGTTCTCAGGTCTCATGGTTGCTTTTCTAATTTAAAAATTGATGTTAGGTCACTTCTTAAAACTCCTCGAAGACGTTGTGAACTTCAACAAGTATCTGGAGGCGAATATCTTCATTTAGGATTTGTAACAGGTCTTCTTTCCATTCTTCGTCAAACCCCTGCAATGCAAATCCCAGAACATCTTCTAATTGATTTTCATATTGATGGGGCGACTTTGGATAGTTTTGGCAAAATTCAAATATGGCCAATTCAGATAAGAATAGTAAATATTCCTAAATCTAAGCCAGAAATCGTGGGTATTTGGAGAGGTTCTAGTAAACCTATCAATCCTTCAGATTTTTTTGAACATTTTGTGTCTGAAGTTCTTCAAACTGTAGACAGTAATGGAATTGAATTTAATGGTGTGAGAAAAACGATTGAGCTTAGATGTTTTATCGCGGATGCACCTGCTCGTGCATTAATATTGAATCACGTAGCACATAACGCTCGAGTACCATGTTCAAAATGTTGGATAGTCGGTGAGTGTCTTCGTCCGGGCGTTATGACTTTACGTGGAGTAAATCATAAACCTAGAACTGTTGAAGAGTATATTCAATGTCTCGATGGAGAACATCACAAAGAAGGTAATAGTTGTCTTTCTCGTCTTCCAATGCAAATTCCAACTCAGGTGCCCTATGAATATATGCATCCAGTATTATTAGGTGTTATGGAAAAAATTGAGTCGGGCCTCATTGACGGTAAATATTCTCCTCTCGTAAAACTGACTCCTCGATTAAAAAAATTGCTTTCTGAACGTTTAGAAAGAGTAAAATATTGGTGCCCTCGTGAGTTTTCGCGAAAACCTACTTCGATTATAAAATTTAAGAAATTTAAAGCTACTGAGCAACGGCAAATTTTATGTTACAGTGGTCCGGCAGTTTTTGCAGGCATTGTCCACCCATTGGTTTATTCGCATTTTATGCTTTTAAATCTGGGTATTCGCATTTTATGTAAACCTTCCGTCTCAGACTCGGATTTGTCCTTAGCTCATTCAGCATTATGCATTTTTATTAATCATGCT